CTACTCTTAATATTTTCTCTTTACTCTGTAGGTTTGATGTTTTGATTATTATATGGCGAGGTGACTTCTTTTTCTGGTCCAGCCTATTTGGTGTTCTGTAAGATTCTTGTATTTTCATAGGCATATCTTTCTTTAGGTTAGGGAAGTTTTCTTCTATGATTTTGTTGAATATGTTTTCTGTACCTTTGAGTTGTATTTCTTCGCCTTCTTCTATGCCTATTATTCTCAGGTTTGGCTTCTTCACGGTGTCCCATATTTCCTGGATATTTTGTGTTAAGGATTTGTTGGTTTTGAGATTTTCTTTGCTTGACGACTCTATATCCTCTAATGAGTCTTCAACATCTGAGATTCTCTCTTCTATCTCTTGTATTCTATTGGTGATACTTGCATCTGTAGTTCCTGATCGTTTACCCAGCTTTTCTATTTCCAGCATCCCTTCATTCTGTGTTTTCTTTATCGTTTCTATATCAGCTTTCAATCCTTCAACTGTTTAAGTTGTTTCCTTAATTTTTTTTTGGTTGTTTTTTTCTTGGTGCTCTTTAGATTCTTTGAGAGATTTGTTTATTTCTTGAATTTTTCCCCCATTTCATGGATTTTTTGTTTGTTTTTTCTTCTATTTCTTTAAGGGATTTCCTCGTTTCTTCTTTGAGGGCCTCCATCATCTTCATGAAATAATTTTTAAGGTCTGTCTCCTCTTCTTCGTCTATGTAGTGCTTTTCTGGTCTTGCTGGTGTTGGATCCCTAGATTCTGGTGGGGACATGTTGGTGTTTCTATTGCTGAGTGAGCTCTTATTCTCTCTTCTTCCCATCTCTTCTTCCAGTGGGTGCTGGTGGTGTCTTTCCATCTCCACTGGTCTCCTTCCTTCCTGAAGCTGAAGCTGGGGATGCTGACACGGAGTTTGGGGCCTGGAAGGGCTGATGTCTTTCCTGAAGCTGGACTCGCTGGGGTTGGGGTCTTGGAAAGGCTGATGTCTTTCCTGTGTGGGCGGGTCTTCTGGATGCCAGGAGCGGCCCAGAAGATCAAGGGGATGGGTGTTGGGCAGGGGTCCTGCCGGAGACCCAATCTCACCTGAAGCTGGACTCACTGGGTTTGGGGTCTTGGAATGGCTGATGTCTTTTCAAGATCACTTGCTCTTTTAAAGGGCCTGGTTTTGACAGCTTACAGATGTCTGTAATACCCATTTTCTGGCCCCTGAGAGCACAAGGAATGTACATAGTGCACATAAATACATGTAGGCAAAACACCCACACATGTAAAATTAAACAGAGCCATCAAAATGTGAATTGTGACACCATAGTATCCATTTGCCATCACAGTGAATTGTGACACCATAGTATCCATTTGCCATCACAGTGAATTGTGACACCATAGTATCCATTTGCCATCACAGTGAATTGTGACACCATAGTATCCATTTGCCATCACAGCGTTGCTTTGGGCAACCACATGTATCATTACATCAAGTGTGACATCACATGACTCATTCTACAAAGGTAAAGTGAGAGACTTTAAGGCTCCATTGTGCCATCATCATGTGGCACTGTGATAACATAGGGCTCTTGTAACATCCCAATTCCCTACAGACACCAGAATGCCCACTATGACATACAGTACTCTATAGTATGCCACTGTAGGTCATTTTGCCATCAAAGTATTCCATTGTGCTCTGACAACACTGAATTATAACATCATAATCCTTTATTGTGGCAACACAGACCTGAATTATCAAATTAAATGTTCAATTGAAAAAAAATAATCTCTGTTTTGCTATCACGATACTGAATTTGACATTACCATGCTCCTCTGAGTCAACACATTGCCCCATTTTGTCATCATCATGTGATTACGGTACCACAGTGCTAAATTTTGCCATCACAGTGTTGAATTGTGACATCACAGAACACCACTGTCACACCAAACTGAGTTGTGACATCATAAAGCACTATTCTTACTGAGAAACCCTGCACTGCAATATTTGATTCTTCCTTGTGATATCGCAATCCTCAAATACCCTATCATGTTGTTTCATTGTGATACTATGAAGTAAATTTAGATTTTTCGGTGCTGGGCATGCTACTACACATCTGTAATTTTCAGGAAGCTGAGGTAGGAAGATGAGAGTTTTGAGGCCAGCCTCGGTTTCAGAGCAGAATCTGTTTCAAAACAAAAAGGGAAAATGGGTTAGAGGCTAGATCAGCAGTGTGTTCATCCTACATGCTTGAATACCTGGGGCTTATCCTCTGGAGTACAAAAAATTGGTCATTGTAGTTTGAATGAAAATGCCCCCCATAAGTTCAAAGGTAGTGGCATTATTTGAAAGGATTGGGACATGTGGCCTTGTTAGAGCAGTTGTGGCCTTACTGAAAGAAGTTTGTCACTGGGGGTGGGTTTTGATGTTTCAGAAGTTCAAACCACACCCAATGGTTTGCCAGTCCAAATGTAGAACTCTCCATCACCATGTCTGCCTGCATATAGTCATATTTCTCACCATGATGATAATAGACTAAACTTCTGAACTGTAAGCCAGTCCCAACTAAATGTTTTCCTTTATAAAAGTTACCAAGGAGTCACTCATATATGGATGTTAAACATAGAGCAAAGGACTACCAGTCTACAATCCACACCACCAGAGAAACTAGGAAACAAGGAAGGTCCAAAAAGAACACATAGTCCCCCACCCCCATAGAAGGGAAGGGGTACAAGAACTCCTAAGCAAATTGGGAGCATGGTGGGGGGGAGTAGGGGGGAGGTGGGAAGGAGAGGGGGGAAGAAGGGGAGAGGAGAAAAGAACAGGAGAGATCAAGAGGACTGAGGCAGAGGAGGAATAGGATAGGCCAAGAAAGGAGATACCTTGATAAAGAGAGCCAGTATAGGTTTGGAGAGAGGTCTGGCACAGAGGAAAAGTTGGGGGATCCAAAGGGATGATCCCAACTAAGAATCTAGGCAGTGGTGGAGAGACTGCCTCTGATGCCCTTCCCCTATAATGAAACTGATGACTACTTTGGTTGCTATTCCTAGAGCCTCCTCTAGTAGCCGATCAAAGCAGAAACAGATATCCACAGCTAACCACTGAGCCATAGTCCTGGAATCCAGTTGCAGAGAGGGAGAAGGGATGAGCAAAGGAGCCAAGACTGTGCAGGAGAAACCAGCAGAAATAGTTGGCCTGACCTAGTGAGAGCATGGAGACCCTAGTGGTAGAGTTGAGGAACCAGCATTGGACCAAACCAAGCCCTCTAAATGTGGGTACCAGCTAGGAGGCCAGGGAAGTCCATGGGTCCTCTAACAGTGGAGCCAGTATTTATTCCTAGAGCACAAATGGACTTTGAGAGTCCTGTGGAGGGCCTCACTATCCTTGGGGAGTGGGGGGGGGTGGGTCGGTGGGAAGCATGGGAGAATGGAAGGGAATGGGGGGATTGATATTTGATAAGAGTGCTTCTAAAATAAAAAAAGAAAAAGAAAGAAACAATGAAAAATGTTCCAAGGTCTGGAGGGCCCCAAGAAAGGGAAATAGTTAAGATTTCGTGGGTAAATTGGAAAGAGAAGTAGAAGAGAATGTATTGGGGATGGGAACATATGGGCTTGAGATGGCCGAGTTGGGGGAAGGACAGAGAGGGGGAGAAATGACAGATATCTTGATACAGGGAGTTATGGGGGGGGGGTAGACAGAAACCTGGTGCTAGGGAAATTCCCAGAAATCAACAAGGACGACCCAAGCTAAGACTCTTACTGGCCTTCCCCTGTAATCAGATTAGTGACTATGGTAACTGTCATCATAGAACCTTCATCCAGTAACTGAAGGAAGCAGATGCAATGATACCCAGCCAAGCCCTGGGCTGAGCTTCTGAAGAGAGGGAGGAGGGATCATGTGAACAAGGGAGGATCAAGATCATAACTGAGAATGCCACAGAGACAATTGACCTGAGCTTGTGGGAGCACGTGGACTCTGGACTGACAGCTGGGGAACCTGCATGGGAACAAACTAAGCCCTGTGAATGTGGGTAACAATTATGTGGTTTGATCTGGGGATATCTGGCAGTGGGACCAGGACTTATCTGAGTGCATGAGCTCATTCCCTATGGTGGGATACCTTGCTCAGCCTGGATGCAGCCAGGAAGGGATAGGTCCTGCCTCAGCTTGGTATACCAGACTTTGTTGACTCCCTAAGGGAGGCCTTACCCCTTCTGACAAGTGTATGGAGGGTGGGATGAGGGAGGGGAGGGAGGGGGAACTGGGGCTAGTATGAAAAATGAAAAAAATAAATAAAAAGAATGACAAATTTAAAAATAAGAGAGCTGCCATGGTCATGATGTATCTTCACAGCAAAGAAACCCTAACTAGGACAGTCATGGTTCACTGTGGAGGCAGGAACGTTCAAAGTTCAAAGTCATGGTAGCTATACAGTGAGTTAAGTATGGTCTGGCATACAAGAGACAATCAAAAACTAGGATGTTGCCAGACTTCAAAAATGTCAAAGTCAACAGAGCACTACTATACGGGATTCAGATGCCCAGTGTATTTCCCATCTTTATGTGACTTGTTCTTTTTGTATTACTTTACTCTCTCTTTAAAGATTTCATTTTATTATTTTTAAACTACTACATCCTTTCTATGACTGTCTATACCCATTTTTTTTCTTTCTTCAGCCTCTAAGCACATTTTCAAGCATACTGTACCTATTAGAGGTTTTGGAGTTTCTTGGAGGGGGGGGTCTGGATCTGGCTTTTTGCGCATCTACAGCATTTCCCTGACCATGTGGGCCAAGCTTACCTAACCTCCGAGGCTACCCACCTCACAGCTTCTCTTAGCATGTGTTGCTTGGGGCTGACTCTACCCACTTTGGGTCCACAGACAATAGCAGGAGCACGGCGTAACAGTCCCTACCATACCTAACCATCCCAGCTCTGAGAGGTTGCTGTGTCCATGCTAGTGTACCCATGCTGAGGCTGGCATTTCTATCTAGTCTCCCACCCAAGTAGCACACCTACCCGAGAGACTGCAGTCACCAGGGCACTGCGTCCAATTCTTTCAGCTTTCGCAGGACCTATGTGGATATACATGGCCGGACATTGGGCACCAAATGCTGTTTCTCCAAGGCACGAGCCTGTGCTTTAATCTACTGCTGTTTCAGGTAGTAATCATGGCTCCACAGTCACTGGCCTGCTTCTCTGGCAGCGGGCCTCGCTGCTGCTCAGGCACGATGGTGGGACATTCCATTTCCGCAGGCACCAGCTCTGGAGCTGCCACCAAATATGGCTTTTAATTACATTTCTATCATTCTATTTATCAATAAGATCAGGAGTCAGAGGCTGCAGTGAAACTCTGCTAGCTCAGAGGAACTGACTAGCAACAAGCTGACCTCTTTCTGCTGGTGTCTCTGAAAGATAGCCTCCTTCTGCACCACCAATACAAAAGAAACCACACCACACTAAGTCCCTCCCTACTACTTCCTGTGCATCTCGCTGTTGTCTCCTGCACACCGTCTGTCTCTCTATGATTACTTTCTGTCACCTAGTCAATAACTCGACCTTCTGACCCAAGGTTGATTTTATTTAATTAAAGCAACCGAGAATTCCAGTTTCACAGTGTGATCGAATATCTCACAACGATAATAGTACGGAGTACTTTGAATCCTTGGGCCCCCATTTAACCACTCATGTTCTTCTATGATAGGAGCATGTGTTATGTTTTAGACTGATTAATGTGTGTGTGGGTGGGTGGGAGGGAGGGAGGGAGAGGGAGAGAGAGAGAGAGAGAGAGAGAGAGAGAGAGAGAGAGAGAGAGAGAGAGAGAGAGAGAGAGAGAGAGAGAGAGAGAGAGAGAGAGAGAGAGAGAGAGACCACTTTCAGGAATTGCTACATTCCTTCCTAAGTCATGGCTTCCCTCGTTTTGGCTGTGTTGAATATGAACTCCAGGCTAGCTGGCCCACAGGCTTCTAAGTGGGCCTCCTTTCTCTGCCTTCCATTTCACTGTGTGAATGCTGGGATTACAGCTTCCTGCTAAAGCATTCTGCTCACTGCTTAGCTTCTGGGAGCAGGGGGTGTTGAACTCAGCTTTTGAGCCTTGTAAGGTTAGAGCTTTGCAAGATGAGTACTTTTCCCTGTTGAGTCATCTCTCCAGCTCTCAACACTATTGCTTGAGACAGGATTTCTTGCTAAGCCTGGAACTCAGCATTTCAGCTAGAATGTCTGGCCAGTCTTGGCTCCCAAGTGTTGGGTTTTTAGCCATGTGCTGTCATACCTCATTTTTAAGTAAGTGCTGTTAGTCATGTTAGTGACATACTGAACCATCTGTTTGGGTCCTACAGTAACTGATTTAAAGAGAATAAATCTAGGCAGATGTTACTATTCTCATCCAAAATAAGGAATAACTGAGGCCCAAGAATGTGACTAACTTTTACTCAACTGATGGGGGATGTCCTTCTATATGTTGTGAATATATGCTTCTCTTATTGGTTGATGAATAAAGCTGTTTTAGCCAATGGACAGGCAGGATTTAGCCAAGTGGAAAATCCAAACAGGGATAGAGAAAGGTAGTAGGAGGAGTCAAAGAGATGCCATGTAGTTGCCCCTGTGTTTTTATTTGGGACTGAAGGGTTGTGGGACCTAGCAGGGGGAAAAAAAACTTCCATCCACAATCAACACAGTGAATGATTCTCCATTAAACTGATATAAATCCTTGTTTCCTTTCAATGGGATGAGCATGACTGCTGTATTATGCTTGGCAATGAAAAATAAAATCACAAAATCTTTGTGTGAGGACCAAAATGGGGCACTGTGGCAGTTTCTGTGTTGGCTAGTTTTTATGTCAACTTGATAAACATAAGACTACAGTCTGTCAGACAAGAGGAAGTCTCAAATTAGGCAAGCATTCAGAGACTTTTCTTATTTTGTGATTTTTGTGGACAGCTCAGACCACTCTGAATGGTTCTACTCCTTGGTTCTCTAAGAAAGTGGACTGAAAAAGCCAGTAAGCAGCACTTCCCTATAGACTCTGGGTAAGCTCCTGCCTCCAGGGTCCTGCTATGCCCGCCTTATATAATGAAATATGATATGGAATTATAAGCCAAACAAACCCTCTTTTCCCCAAGTTGCTTTTGGTCCTCACAGCAATAGCATCACACACACAAAAAAAAAGACAGGGTCTCAAGATAACAGCAATGTACCACTAGGTGGCAATAGAGCCTAAGGAATGTAGTCTGCTTTTACAGCTTGACAGAAGTGCAAAATTGTTAAGGGATCTATACACTGATGATAGTTGTGTTTTGTTTGGGGGGGGTTGGTTTTTGTTTTTTTACACAAGTTCTCTTGTATCCCAAGAAAGCCCCAAAATTTCTATGTAGATGGGATGACCTTCAATTTCTGATCTTCTTGATTGTACCTCCTCATGCTGGGGTACAATCTCATCCCGCTTTGCAGTGTTGGGATGGAACCCAGGGCTTTGTACATACCAGACAAGCATTCAACAAACTGAGCCAGATCCCCAGGCTGCGAACCTATAGGGAAAACTAAAGGTTCATTTGGGGGACATTGCCTTGCTAACACAATCACTCTACACACAGACATTTTAAGAATATATTGTTGGGGTGTGTGTAAGAGAGTGGGGAGGGTGTATTCAGAGGCCAGAAGAAGGTGTTAGATTTCCCTACAGCTTGACTTACAGGCAATTGTGAACCTCTGGCATAGGTACTGGGAGAAACCTGGGTCCTTTGAAAAAGCAACAAGTGTTCTTAACTACTGAGCTAGCTCTTCAGCCCCTAAATATAGTCTTGAACCCACAATGTACAAAATATTCTTGTCTCGATTTTACTTATGAAACCTTGGTTAAAAACACAATGTAAATACTACTTAGAATTGTGCCATTTTCTGTTTCACTTAGTAATCTCAACAAATTTCTTTCTTTGTGCTTTTTGTTTGTTTATTTGCTTTTCTTTCTGGGGCTGCATTTCAACTCTCCGTCTCTATCCTGTAATCCAGAATGCTGGGATTACAGGAATGTGACACAACACCCAAATGGAATTGTTTTTTCAGTTCTGTATCAATGTGGCATTTATAATCTTTTTTCCTCTCAAAAACAACTTTTTATTTCCATAAGGAAAATTCGAGTTCATCTTAGATTAGGAGTTAGTGCGCCATTGATCAAGTTAAAGAGTAACCGAGGCTACAAACCTAGTTCAGCACTTGCCTAGCATGCATGAAGCCATGCATTATCTCCCTGGTGCTGCCTGTAATATGTGATAATGTATGCCTGCAATGCCAGCACTGAAAAGGTGGAAGCAGTAGGAGCAGGAGTTTGAGGCCATCCTTGGTTACATACTGAGCTTGAGACCTGCTTAGAATACATGAGACCCTGCTGAGAAGTGGGGAAAGAGAATGGGAGCCAGGTGTAGCAGCACATGGTTTTAATCCCAGCATTCAGTAGGCAATGCCAGGTGGATCTCTGTGAGCTTGAGGCTAGTCTGGTCTACACGGAGAATTCCAGACCAACCAGGGCTATATAGTGAGATCCTCTCCAAAAAGGTTGCTGGTGGAGGGGTAGGGAGGGTAGATGACTTACTGGTTAAGAATATGTGTGACTGTGCTCACTTCAGCAGCACATACTAAAACTGGAACAATACAGAGAAGATGAGCATGGGCCCTGCACAAGGATGACACACAAATCCCTGAAGCGTACCATATTTTTTCAGAAAACCTACAAATTCATGGAAACTGAATAATATGCAATTGCACCAATCCTGGATCAAATAAGAAATAAAAAGAGAAATTAAAGACTTCCTAGATATCATTGAGAATGAAAACACAACATACCCAAACTTATGGGACACTTCAAAAGCAGTGCCAAGAGAGAAGTTCATAGCACTAAGTGCCCACATGAAGAGCTGGAGAATAGTTACACTAGAGAATTAACAACACAGCAGAAAGCTCTAAATGAAAAGAAACAAACTCAGCCAAGAGGAGTAAATGCCAGGAAATAATCAAATTGAGGGATGAAATCAATAAAGTAGAAACTAGGAAAACAATAAAAAAAAACAATGTAATGAATAGTTGGTTATTTGAAAAAATCAACAAGATAGACAAAGCTTTATCCAAACTTATGAAACCATAGAGTGTGAAAATGAAAATTAACAAAATCAGAAATAAAAAGGGGGGAACATAACAACCGACATTGAGAAAATTCAGAGAATCATCAGGTCATACTTTGAAAACCTGTACTCAAACAAATTTGAAAATTTAAAGGAAATGGACAGTTGTCTGGATGGCAATCACTTGCAAAAATTAAATCAAGAACAAATAAGCCATTTAAATAGACCTATAACCCCTATGGAAAGAGAAGCAGTCATCAAAAGCCTCACAACCAAAAAAAGCCCAGGGCCAGATGGCCTCAGTGCAGAATTCTACAAGAAATTCAAAGAACAGTTTATACCAATTCTTCTAAAGGATTCCACACAATAGAAGCAGAAGAGTCTTTGACAAACTCTTTCTACGAGGCTTCAATAACCTTGATACACAAGCCACACAAAGACACAACTAAGAAAGAGAACTTCAGACCAGTATCCCTCATAAACATTTGATGCAAAAATACTCAATACAATACTGGCAAATCAGATCCAAGAACACATCAGACAACTCATCCACCATGATAAGTAGACTTCATTCCAGGGATGCAGGGATGGTTCAACATACGAAAATCTATCAATGTAATTCACCATATAAATAAACTAAGAAACAAAAATCATATAATCATCTCACTAGATGCAGAAAAAGCCTTTGACAAAATCCAAAACCCCTTCATGGTAAAGGACAGAAACTTAACATGATTCCTCTAAAATCAGGAACAATACAAGGATGTCCACTCTCTCCATACCTCTTCAATATTGTACTCAAAGTTCTAGCTAGAGCAATACAACAACAAAATGAGATCAAGGGGATACAAATTGGAAAGGAAGAGGTCAAACTTTCACTATTTGCAGATGATATGATAGTGTACATAAGTGATCCAAAGAACTCTACCAGAGAACTCCTACAGCTGATAAATACCTTCAGCAAAGTGGCAGGCTACAAGATCAACTCAAGAAAATCAGTAGCCCTACTATATACAGATGATAAAAGGGCTGAGAAAGAAATCAGAGAAACATCTCCCTTTACAATTGCCAAAAACAACATAAAATACCTTGGGGTAATGCTAACCAAACAAGTGAAAGACCTGTATCGCAAGAACTTTGAGTCTTTAAAGAAAGACATTAAAGAAGACACAAGAAAATGGAAAGATCTCCCATGCTCTTGGATAGGTAGGATCAGTGTAGTAAGATTGGCAATCCTGCCAAAAGCAACCTAAAGATTTAATGCAATCCCCATTAAAATACCAGCACAATTCTTCACAGATCAGGAAAGAACAATTCTCAACTTTATATGGCAAAACAAAAGACCCAGGATAGACAAAACAACCTTAATCAACAAAGTAACATGTGGAGGCATCACCATCCCTGACTTCAAGCTCTATTATACAGCTATAGTCCTGAAAACGGCTTGGTATTGACACAAAAATAGACACGTAATCCAATGGAATAGAATTGAACACCCTGGTATTAACCCATACATGTATAAACATCTGATCTTTGATAAGCTAAAATATACAATGGAAAAAAGAAAGCATCTTCAACAAATGATGATGGCATAACTGGATGCTGGCATGTAGAAGAATGTGGATAGATCCATGTCTATCGCCACGCACAAAACATAAGTCCAAATGGATCAAAGACCTCAACATAAATCCAGCCACACTGAATCTCTTAGAATACAAAGTGGGAGGTACCCTTGAACGAATTGGTACAGGAGATCAATTCCTGAACGTAACACCAGTAGCACAGACACTAAGGTCAACAACTAATACATGGTATCTCCTGAAACTGAGAAGCTTCTGTAAGGCAAAGGACACAGTCAACAAGACAAAAAGGAAGCCCACTGAATTGGAAAAGATATTTACTAACCTTACATCTGACAGAGGGCTGATCTCCAATATTTACAAAGAACTCAAGAAGCAAGTCTCCAAAACAGCAAAGAAGCCAATTAAAAAGTGGGCTACAGAACTAAATAGAGAATTCTCAACAGAGGAGTCTAAAATGGCTGAGAGGCACTTAAGAAAGTGCTAGATGTCCCTATACATCCCGGAAATGCAAATAAAAACAGTGCTGAGATACCATCTCACTCCTGTCAGAATGACTAAATTCAAAAACACCAATGACAGTTTATGCTGGAGAGGATGTGGAGAAAGGGGAACACTCCTCCACTGCTGGTGGGAGTGCCAACTGGTTCAGCCACTTTGGAAATCAGTATAGAGATTCCTCAGAGAAATGCCAATCAGCCTACCACAAGACCCAGCAATTCCACTCTTAGGCATATACCCAAAAGATGCCAATTCGGAGTCCAGCTTCAGGTGAGATTGGGTCTCCAGCGGGGGACCGCCCGCCCATCACCCTTCCCCCTCCATCTTCGGGGCCGCTCCCGGCTTCCAGAAGAGCTGCCCACACAGGAAGAGATCAGCCCCTCCAAGACCCCAACCCAGCGAGCCCAGCTTCAGGTGAGATTGGGTCTCCAGCAGGGACCGCCCGCCCATCACCCATCCCCCCCCCTCCATCTTCGGGGCTGCTCCTGGCTTCCAGAAGAGCGGCCCACACAGGAAAGAAATCAGCACCTCCAAGACCCCAACCCAGCGAGCCCAGCTTCAGGTGAGATTGGGTCTCCAGCGGGGGACCGCCCGCCCATCACCCATCCCCCTCCATCTTCGGGGCCACTCCTGGCTTCCAGAAGAGCCGCCCACACAGGAAAGAGATCAGCCCCTCCAAGACCCCAACCCAGCGAGCCCAGCTTCAGGTGAGATTGGGTCTCCAGCGGGGGACCGCCCGCCCATCACCCATCCCCCTCCATCTTCGGGGCCGCTCCCGGCTTCCAGAAGAGCCGCCCACACAGGAAAGAGATCAGCCCCTCCAAGACCCCAACCCAGCGAGCCCAGCTTCAGGAAAGACATCAACCCATCCAAGACCCCAACCCCAGCGAGTACAGCTTCAGGAAAGAGATCAGCCCCTCCAAGACCCCAACCCCAGCGAGTCCAGCTTCAGCATCCCCAGCTTCAGCTGCACTAAGGAAGGAGACCAGAGGAGACGGAAAGACCCCACCAGCACCCACTGGAAGAAGAGATGGGAAGAAGACAGAATAAGAGATCACTCAGCAATAGAAACACCAACATGACCCCACCAGAATCCAGGGATCCAACACCAGCAAGACCCGAAAAGCACTACATAGATGAACAAGAGGAGACAGACCTTAAAAATTATCGCATGAAGATGATGGAGACCCTCAAAGAAGAAACAAGGAAATCCCTTAAAGAAATAGAAGAAAAAACAAACAAAAAAATCCATGAAATGGGGGGAAAAATTCAAGAAATAAACAAATCTCTTGAAGAATCTAAAGAGCACCAAGAAAAAACAACCAAGAAAATTGAGGAAACAGCTCAAACAGTTGAAGGATTGAAAGCTGAAATAGAAACGATAAAGAAAACACAGAATGAAGGGATGCTGGAAATAGAAAAGCTCGGTAAACGGTCTGGAACTACAGATGCAAGTATCACCAATAGAATACAAGAGATAGAAGAGAGAATCTCAGGTGTTGAAGACTCATTAGAGGATATAGAGTCGTCAAGCAAAGAAAATCTCAAAACCAACAAATCCTTAACACAAAATATCCAGGAAATATGGGTCACCGTGAAGAAGCCAAACCTGAGAATAATAGGTATAGAAGAAGGTGAAGAACTTCAACTTAAAGGTACACAAAACATATTCAACAAAATCATAGAAGAAAACTTCCCTAACCTAAAGAAAGATATGCCTATGAAAGTACAAGAATCTTACAGAACACCAAATAGGCTTGACCAGAAAAAGAAGTCACCTCGCCATATAATAATCAAAACATCAAACCTACAGAGTAAAGAGAAAATATTAAGAGCAGCTAAAGAAAAAGGCCAAGTAACATACAAAGGCAGACCTATCCGAATTACACCTGACTTCTCAATGGAAACGATGAAAGCCAGAAGATCCTGGTCAGATGTCCTACAAACGCTAAGGGAACAAGGATGCCAGCCCAGACTACTATATCCAGCAAAGCTCTCAATTACCATAGATGGAGAAAACAAAATATTCCATGACAAAGCCAGATTTAAACAATACGTATCCATGAATCCAGCTCTACAGAAAATGCTAGAAGGAAAACCTAGAGCCAAGGAAGATAACTACATTCACAAAGACACAGGCAATATATAATCATACTTTACAAAACACCAAAAGAAAAAGGGAGGAGAAACTACACAAAATAACTTCACTAACAATAAATCAAGCGCAAACAAGGATCACCAATCAATGGTCATTAATATCCCTCAATGTCAACGGCCTCAACTTGCCTATAAAAAGACACAGACTAGCAGAATGGATACGAAGACAGAACCCTTCCTTCTGCTGCATACAAGAAACACATCTCAACACCAAAGACAGACGTTATCTCAGAGTAAAGGGCTGGGAAAAGATCTTCCAATCAAACGGCCCCAAGAAACAAGCGGGTGTAGCAATCCTAATATCTAACAAATTAGACTTCAAATTAAAATCAATCAAAAGAGATGAAGAAGGGCACTTCATA